GAGAATGATGATGGCACAAATGTACAAATGTGCTTGACACAATGGATGGATGTATGGATTGTGATGGGAATTGTATGAGCCCCCAATAAAATGATTTTTTTAAAGATATGAAATAATAATAACAATATATAATTTATCAAGAACTCACAAGAGGGGCAAGGAAGAAAGGTGCTTATCCCAAGTAGAAAATATTTTGGAAATGGTGATGGCAACATATGGACAAATATGCTTGATACAATTTATGTATGGAATATTTTAAGAGCTGTAAGAACTCCTAATAAAAATGATTTAAAAACAAAACAGTGGTCTACTGAAAGGTGAATATTTTTCTTTGGAGAATAATTGTGGAAAGGTTCAGACCTGATGATTCAAAGTCATACTAATTAAAGTCTTGGGAGAAAATCTATCCAGGACGTTCTCCCAAGAGACCCCCAAGCCCTCTTACCAAAGGTCTGGGTCATGCCAGCCGCTCCTACCTCTGACCAGCACCCTCAGCTTATATTAGTGCATTATATTAATGATCACATTTGTGGAAATAAGATTTTGGGAGATGAAATGAGCTTCTATCTATGCACCTCTCAGTCAATTCTTGGACTTAGTGCTGATGCAGAGAAGAAGAACCTAATGTTTCTCATCCAGGATTTCCAAGTGGCCACGAGGAAGGGAAATCATGGACATTATGAGGTAGCCAGCTTTCACATTTACTGTGGCACAGAGATGAAACAGCCACTGAATGTTTTCTGTATTTCTGAAAATAGACTAATCATGTTAGCGCATTGAAAATAACATAAATATGATAAACTGAGTTATTCAGTATCAATTTAATCATCCACAGCTGCCAGAAACTGCTTGTCAAAAGGGTAAATACCTTCCTCTTTTACACACAAGTAAAATTGTCAAACGATACTGCCTGTGTAGATACCCAAACAAGGCTGCACAAAATGCTACTACATTGATTCATCCTCTTTTCCTTCTGCGTAACTGTTTTAATTTAAAGGTATGTTTTTCGTGTAACAGTATCGAGTCTCAAATATAACGGTTCTTTTTCTAGGATACATTATTCTAAAATAACTCCAAGAGATTAAGTGCCCCCAGGTATACAATTTAAATGATGGGATTCTTAGGATCTACCAGAATTGGATTAGATTTTAGTCTCACCATCTACGTGCTCTAAAACCTTGGGTAGATAATGTACCCATCTCTTAAGGTTGTCACTAAGATAAAATACAAACTTGGAGTGTGTTCAATAAAAAGTCTATAACTATTGTTTTTTTTAATGAAATATACGTTCACAGAATACTATCTGTACCGCTTCTTTCTAATTTCATCTAAGTTATCTATTTTATACAGGGAAAATTAAGACATCAAAAAATCCATTAAAACTTATATCCAATAAACTGAAGTAAGAACCAAAATATAGGATCACCATATAATTACTCGACGTGTTAGAAGACAAGTTATTGCGTTTTAATCGTGTAATGAGTGAAGCATGCACTCACTGGCAGTTCCCTCGGATGTGCAATCATCTAGTACATCAGTTCTTTTCTGACAGAAAACCTTTGGAAGGTAATGATAATTCCAATGCTACTCGGGTGCTACAGCCATATTTCTAATGTATTATTTTTTCAATCACTGTCTTAACCAGGAGCCCTGGTGACTAGTGGTTATTCTTTGGGCTGTCATCCACAAGGTCAGCATCTCAAACCACCAGCCACTTTGCACAAGAAAAACAGGGCTTGCTATTCCCTCGATGGTTACAGTCTTGGAAACTCACAGCAGCTGTCCTCTCGGGCCAAGGGGAGTCGGCATGATCTCAATGGCAGTGAGTTCGGTTCCTTTGGTTTTGTCTTACCCAGGAATGAGGAAAAGTAATATATTGTCATTTCTGGAATCATGGAGATGGTGAGAATTCTGTTTCTGGATAGTCCTCGACTTCAGGATTTCTGAGGCTGCTTTGAAGCTGAGCACAGGCAAGCTTGATGTCACAGAAGGCCAGAAATGCATGCTACCACTCTGTGCTGAGTGTCTGTGCCCTGTCTGCTCGCCTGGTCCTTTTTTTTTTAAATCATTTTATGGGGGCCTCTTATAACTCTTGTTACAAACCATACACCAATTGTATCTGACATATTTGTACATATATTCTATCATTCTTTTCTAGACATTTACTTTCCATTGAGCCCTGGGATCAGCTTCTCCTTTTTTTCCTCCCTCCTCCCGGCTCCAACCCTTCTGGCCCTCTCTTAGATTGTAGATTGTTAATTATTTTCAAATCTCACTCCAACCACCGTCTCTGTTCCCCTCTGGTTTCTTTGCTCTTCTCCCTGACTGGGGGGGTGTGATTATGTACCATTCATTGTGATGGGTGTCCCCCTCCTCCCTCTCCACCTGTCCCCCTCTTCCCTCTACCTTTTGGTGTCTCTGTTCCCATCCCTGTTCCTGGGTTCCATGTGTTGTGAGCTTTATCTCTTGCCTCTACTTATGTACGTACTCCTGTCTAGTCTAGATTGGGAGGCAGCACTGAGGTCGTGATAGCTGGGGTTGTGGAGACCTACAGGGAACAGAGGTATATTGTGTGACCCATTAGTGCTCTACTGCACCCTGATTGACTCACCCCCTCCCTGCGACCCCTCTGTTGGGGGGATGCTTCATTCATTGTCCATAGATGGGCTTTGGGTCTCCGTTTCAACCCCCCTTCATTCTCACCAATGCATTTTTGTTTGTTTGTTTACTGTTTGTTGTGAATCTTCTAATGTCAGTTTCCCAGTGATGCCTGTTGCTCAGTCTCGACACCTCATGATCACACAGGCTGGTGTGCTTCTTCCATGCGGGCTTGTTGCTTCACTGTTGGATGACTGTTTGTTTAACTTCAAGCCTTTAAGACCCCAGACACTACATCGTTTAATAGCCGACCACCATCCTGTCTTCACCACATCTGCTTATGCACCCATTTTGTATTCAGCGACAATGTATGTGTGAGGGGGCAGGAGGGTGGAGGGGGTAGAGTTGAGCATCACAGAATGCCAATTTGTTAGAACAAAGTATTCTTGTATTGAATGAAGGTATTAACCGAGCCCCAAGGCCATCTGCAGCTTCAGTGTGTTGCCTTATAAATATATGTACATAGGCCAATACCACTACTGTTATGGATTAATGTCTTTGCATAAGTGCACACCTCTGTGAATCTCCCTATCTATGCCTTTGCTTCCTAGAGCTTGCCTCTGTTTCCTTTTGCCCCCTCCTGCCCCCATCACTTTCCCCCTTCTTCCACCTCTAAGTGCTTCCTCTCCACTAGCTTGGTGTTGCTCTAAGACTCACAGGATCCCTACCCTCTCTTAGATGCTGGTTCCGCTTCCCTAGTTGTTCCCTGTCCATGATGCCCTGGGCTCACCGCACCCTTCTCCCCACCTTCATCCTCCCCCTCTACCTTTCTAGGGCTATTGACCCCATTGCCTTCTCCCTGGGCTTCCCTCACATGGTCCAACACATATAATTAGGTAACTCGTCCAAGTCCTAGTCCAAACAATAAGAAAGCCTACAGTTGAAGAAACAAAAGGGAAGAGAAAAAGATGAAAGAAGAGAAAAAAAGATAAAAGACCCTAGATAGGTCCAGATCTGTTTGCCGGTCCCCATGCGACTCTGCCCCCTGTCCTGAATGAGATCCGGGGGCTGCCCCTCCTCACCTGAAGTCCAATCTTGGGGCTCCAATTGCTGATCTGTTATGCTCCATTACCCCACATCTCCCCACCATGATTGGCTCATCTCCATGCTCTCCTGGTTCTTTCAAGGGAGAGAACGCAATACATTAGGATGTTTCATAAAGGTAGGAGGACATACTAATAAGCAGCATGTTTATTTGCAGGTGAACCAAAAGCTGTCAGGCCACGCTTACTGTTTGTTCCTAGAAGGATGGTAGAAGAGAGATGTGCATCTTTTTACCTTGCATCTTCAAGGAAGAGGACCTGGAAGAAATAGGTGGAATCAGTTTTCTGTGAGGATTAATAATCTATGAGAGTCAATGATGAGATATTGGTTCACAAGGAACCATGATATACAGCAGAGTGCTACAAACAACTTCATAGATTATAAACATAGGAGGGAGAAGTGGAGAGGTTAATTCTAACTGGGAAAACCATGAAGGTGGGAACATTTGATCTGAGTCTTTGGAGGTGGGTAATAACCCATTAGCAATGAAAACAAATTTAAATGGTTGATCTTCCATCCACTGCTTTTTGTTTGTTTTGTTTTGTTTTAAACATCTCTCAATCTTAGGAATCTACAGCATCAAAAAGAACCTCGGGCTACATGAATTACTGATTTAGAATTTGAGCAGGGAAAAGCAACTTGTGTGAAACTGGTAGCCATAGAACTTGTAAGGTCTCTGAATGTTGATGTCATGGTTAGTCCTTGTGTTGTAGGTCAGCTCTAATTGTGATCAAGGCAAAGACTAATGGACAAATAGTCTGAAAACTCAGTTCTGCGTTCCTCTCCTCAGGCCTCTACACCTCCTATTATAAAAGACCTTTCCCATTATGCATGATGCTTCACAAAACTGAGAGAAAATGTTGATCTCACAAAACATAAAATGGCTATGACATCTCTACTGAAGTTGTTCCTTCAAAGGACCTTAAGGTAGCAATTGGATTAGTTCATTAAGAAATACATATGGTAAATTTTCATCAGACTGACTGTTTACTAATAGGGCATTAGAATATGCTTATGTGCTTGGTTTGCAATTTGCAGAAAAAGTTATATTAATTTAATTATTAATTAAGTATATGATTAATGAATTAATCCATGATGGCTGTTTGCAACAGTAAGTATATGTTTAATAATTGATCCATGAAAATCTTTTATGTTAAAAAATATTCAGAATATTAAGACCACAACAAAGAAAGATGGGCCAAATAAATTCAAAGGAGTCATAGGAGTGAAGGTACACCATTTTTACAATAACATGTTACCTGACAGAACAATGTTTTTGCACTTGTGTTAAGGTAATGATGGTCACACATGAAATAGATAATGAGACTGTCACCACAGATTTTATCCTTCTGGGACTCTGGCCTGAATTCAGTCATCTTGTGATCCTCATCTGCATCATTCTTCTGGTCTACTTTGCAGCTGTGATGGGCAACACTGTTCTCATTCTTCTCATCTGGTTGGATGCTCGACTCCACTCTCCCATGTACTTCCTGCTCAGTCAGCTCTCTCTCATTGACTTGGCCTTGATCTCAACTTCTGTCCCCAAAATGGTCACCAACTTCTTTTCAGGGAAGAGAACCATATCTCATATTGGCTGTGGAACCCAGATCTTCTTTAGCTTAACCCTGGGGATTGCTGAGTGCCTCTTGTTGACACTCATGTCCTATGACCGCTACATTGCCATCTGTAACCCTCTGCGATACTCAGTCATCATGAGTCACACAATCTGTACACAAATGGTCATTGGATCCTGGGTAGGAGGAGCAGTAACTTCCCTGGTCCATACAGCCTATGCCATGCACTTCCCAATTTGTCGCCCACGAAAGATTCCTCATTTTTTGTGTGAAGGCATGGCCCTCTTGAAGCTCACTTGTGAGGACATTTCAGCCTACGTGAAATCAGTGGTCGTCTCGAGCTTTTTGGTGGTCCTTATTCCACTGAGTCTCATTCTGACCTCCTACACCCTCATCTTCCTCACTGTACTCCGCATGAACTCCCCAGAGGGCAGGAACAAAGCTCTCACCACCTGCTCTTCCCACCTCTGTGTAGTGAGCCTGTACTTTGGCCCTGCCATATTGGTCTACATGAGGCCAGGTTCCTCTAAGACTCCCAGATTAAACCAGTCACTCTTTATGTTTAACGCCATCCTGACCCCTATGCTTAACCCTCTCATCTATAGCCTGAGAAACAAGGATGTCATAGCAGCTATGAAGAATGTAATCATCAGCAGATGTCCCCAGGGAAAGATGAAAATCTGTACCTGATTATAATCTCATGTTGGCATATCAATTTCCTTTGTTCCATGAAGCCTTTATGGTTTTACAAATTTGGTCATGAGACTCACAGAAACATTACAGCATTTGTTTCAACCCCCTTGTTTAGTAGAAGTACATATGAATAAAACTATGATAACTTAGCTATGGTCTCAAGGCACCGATCACAAGAACCAGATGTAAAATTCTGAAAGCACACCATTCCCCTTTAAATAATCATGTCACTTTACCTAAAAATGCCCACATTGCAATTATATGCATGTGCCTAAACACACCTGTGGGGAAAATAAGTATGGGTTCTTTTTCTGAGCAATAGAACTCACAGCCTCCAAGTGGGCTTGGAAGACCAGGATTTTCAATTGACATTAAATTAATCTGATCCACCATGAATTACCTAAGAATGCCTTAAACTAAGCCAAACACCGGCAACAGTAGTTGGTGTTATATTTCATGAGATGCAGAGTAAACTTAACTTCTTTGACGTGGCTCCACACTTTTCCTCCCCTTACTCTACCCCCACACACTCCTTCTGAATTCATACCCATTGTGCAAAGCAAATAAGGTTGCAAAATTTCTTCTGATGGTCTGAAAAAATGAAATAAGAATTTAAAAATAACTTCCTAGAATTGCTAAGAGGAGTAAATCAGCTAGCATGAACAAAACACTGAAAGCCATGTGGGAATGGAGGCAGGAAGTAAGTGCTATGTCCGTGGACACACTATCTCAGAACTGGAGCACAGATTCTCTCAACATGGATGTGAGAGAACGCACCCTTTTAGGGCTTCCTTCTAGGCATGCCAAATGGGGCTTTATTTTTAGATATAATAAAGGTATGTTGTAGTCACTTTCAGATGAATGCTGAATATGTATTGAAATTAGCTTTAATTTAAAGCTGCAAGAAAAAACACGTTCTTCTAGAATAAAAAGGTACTGTGATTCAGAAATTTTACTCTAAAAGTTTAAAAGAGGATTATTATTTTTATTTATTAAATGTATTGGTCATGTTTTGAAGGGCAGTAATTGCGGTGGGAGCAATAATTCCTCAGCACTCTCGGTTGCAGGCGTGCTATTGCAGTTGCTGACTTGGACATTTGTGATATTCGATACAGGCGTTCAGTTGACGTCCTTGAAGAACAGTGTGTTTGGGGCTCACTTGACCAGTGTCGCACACATTAGCAACAATGTGGTGCTTTCTGTGCTTTATTCCCTCCTCTCTTGGAATAATACTAGCCCTCATGGCTAAAGATCGGGTTGATTGTAAGAAACCTCTCGTTTGGTTGGTTGGTTTGCTTTGGTGGTTTACCATGCTGGAACAAAATTATTCATGTGTATGTTCGGAAGCAAATTTAATTTTAGTCACCATTTATATATGCTCCCAATATATGTGCAGGTGTTTTCTTTTACTCTCAGGCACTCATGAAAAATTTGACCTTCAGTTCTGGTATTCTAACTGTGACATGTAACTAGTTTTCCAATAAACAAACCATCTTTGACTTTCTAGTCGTGCTATAGTGGCCATTCTTGTAATGGGATGTCAAATCATAGAATAGTAAAGCTATGATATTAATTAAAAAAACAACAGTGCCTGATCTTGCCCCATCCTCAAAATCACTCTTATGTTTCAGTGCCCTGCTTCAGGCAACCAGTGAGTCCATCTCCTTTAAGTATTTGCTCTCTTTTGATGACCCTCTACCAAGAATGATCATGAGATGAAGTCTTGTCATTCTCATTTCTAAAGAGCATGTGGCTGGACTTCTTCTAATAGGGAATGGCTCATTCCTCTGTCAGGGCATGATATATTACTACATGTTATTTGCCAACATCATAATTCAAAGGCATCAATTATTTTTCAGTGTTTTTTTGCCCAGTTTTGCATGAATGTGAGGCAATTGAAAACACCATGGCTTGAGACAGGAGCATGGTAGTCCTCAAAATGACATCTTTACTTTTTAACATTTTAAAGATATTTTTTAAAGATAATTAAATTTTCTTTTAAAACATCTTCTTTTTGTTTTCTCCCCCAGCAGTTTTATTCACAAGTAATTTACATATCATATACTTCAATAGTTCAATCATTCAATCAT